AAAGGCAGCTGTGTCGAGGGGCTCAAACGGAGGCAGATTGTTGTCAACAAGGCTGTAAAGTTGAACAAGAGTCAACAGAAAGATGACATATCCCCCCGGCAGCTGTCTGTAAATTAACCACAAGTAAATTTGCAATTCTGTATGTAATGAGTCAAGAGTTGAATGTTCTTGAAGAAGCATACATTGTTTACCCACAAAACATCCACCATGGTGGCATCCATATGAATTGGAAAGTAAAACAAGTGTGTTTCTGTGTGTTTTTTATGCAAACAAATGACAAATTACAAGAAACAATAACTTAACAAGCGTATAGTCAACGAAGTCATCTATATCCCCAGCCCATTTTAACACGTTATGGTCCCAAACCAGGTAACTGACCAAACATTTCTCTTAGCCCATGTCAAAATAGCTGCAATGGAAATTCTAAAATAAACATTTCTGAACCTCCTTAATATCAGGTGAGGTGAAATTGGGTTTAACATTAAATTGGGTTTAACATAGACATGCAATGTTTGGCAAGGAAATATTTAACAATTTATTTGTTATACTCCATAAGTGAACCCACCCTATATTAAAATTTAAATCCAACTGGTTGCCATGGCAACGTTAAAAATAAAAATTTATAAAATTCCTTAATAGCAAAAGGCACCTGTTCATCATGAGTCTGACAGACATGCAAAGTTTTGTAAGAAGGTATTTAACGGTTTTTGAGTTACGTTCCGGAAACGAACACCACCTTTATAGAACCGAACACCACCTTTATAGAACCTAAGTCCAACTTGTTACCATGGAAACGTAAAAAATAAAAAATTAGAAAATTCCTAAATAAATTAACAAGATATTGGGATATATTATATGCTGGGTAAATAAATGCTCTCTTCAACCGATAGCTGAGGTACGATGTCGCACAAACGCCCCCCTTTTTTTATCAAGGTGACAGGCATCTGATCGAAAGGTTGCGCAGTAACCTCTAATGTCGCTTTATGCCGGAGCCAAGGTTCGAGCTCCACACTGTGTAGTAGACAGACAAGTGGTGTTTCCGAGCTCTGTGTAGGATGTGTGACTTGGCTGGTACAAGATGATCTCCATGAAATGTATGACACCTGGTCCTGTCCTGTGTACCATGATCCCAACAGGTAGGAACCGGGTAGCATATGACGATTCTGTCAAATGTCGACTCAATCGTGAATGTGTGATGATCTTCAAGTTTGGTACAGATCATGTCTACCAGAAACGCCATGATACAAATTCTACGAGACTACTAACGCCTCTCCGTGGAATCGTTTAGCCAATGTTGAAAGTACACCGATAGATGGGAGAATTGGCAGGAACTTTCACAGATCCCTAACCATGAGGCCAGGTGCTGCTAAAGGTTTAGGAAATGTCAGTTTTCTGTTGTATGCTGAAAGTCTACCACTGTCTGTAAGTGGTCTAGACGATTGGCTTTGGTCTCAGGTCTTGTTCCAAGGCCCGAGATGAGGATGCCAAGACTGACAAAGGCTTAAGTGAGCGCCTGACGCCAGTCTTGATGAAGACAAGCATGGTCGGTTTGGACGAGCCAGTCATCCTAGGGGGTCCTCATCCAAGATATACGCCTGGTCAGCCACTCCAAAGGCTTAAATAGGAAAGACATCTTTCCTAAACTCAGGTGCCTTAAACACTGGTGCAAGTGTCAGCTTGGAGAAATCTTCATCTAACGCCTTGACCATATCCCTGAGCATGGGATCTGGTGTTATCACCGTAGGGTGGGACAAATGGTATCCTTGTCGAACCCGTGCCCGGGTGATAGAGCTACTGCCGTGAGTCAATGTCACATTCACTCCGGGTAGGTACTCCATTCCGCAGATAAATCCAAATCCTTGTTTAATGAATGCGATGTGCAGGCCTCACACTCAAAGATTGCTTGGACGAAGCGCCAGGTGGGACTGAAACATGAGATGATATCCACATAGGGAAAGTAGCATTAATGCTTACTGATGGTGTAAATGGTATCACAGACGTCTTGTGTGCAGCAGTCGCTGATGTAAGTGTAAGGTTGTGTCAGGCATAGGGGTAGGTGATGACAACGAAGGCTGGAACACAGTCCCAGGATACATCTGTGACATATACTACTGGCACATGGACTGCATGAAGTTCTGCATCCAAGTTGTATCGATGTAAGGCGCCACAGGCTTGTGCATACATGAAAGGTGCTTCCTGGAAGTCAGGGGACGCAGCAGAAAGCTGGCCCGTTTGCCGATGACATTGCAGGTGTGGTCAGAAACCCTGAAGATATAGTCATCATTGATGCACCTGGTTGGTGTAGGCCCTCGGGTGCTCAAGGGCATCAACATGATAGAGGTGTGCGCCGGCCAGGTAGAAGTGGGGTAATGCACATGCCCTGGTATAACTGGAACCGTTACAGTGGAGGCCAGGAACGCCGGAAAGTTAGGGACAGGTAAGAAACTTACAATAGAGTCCGGCGCCATGATGTGTGGCGGTGGCAAAATAATGTCGGTCATCTCAGGAACCATGGGTAATGCCCAACTCGACGTAGAGGGTTGTGTGGTGATGACAGGGGAATGGTGGCTGGTAACGTCCTGTGAATCCGACATCCTTCTTACGTGCCGACGGATCTGCTGTTGTAAGTAGTACCACATATATAGCTGTCTATAAAGTGACACCACGTATAAGGCGACCCCCCCTGTACAAGCCTTCAAAAATCAATGCTAATTTATAAACCCTGTCTATAAAGCGAATTGTAATGAAGCACATCACCAGCGCATACACAATCTCTACATCTGCAATAAAAACGCGTTTGTCTTCTGCAGAAAAGAAATACATTGTATGCCTTCAGCGAATTCAGGGAAACAGGAACAGATCATAACAATTAAACATGGTCAAGACAAATTTGAAATTTGAGATAAAAAACACTACACACGATGATTTACTGATTAAATTGTATTTTCTGTTCTGATAGGCATTGTTCTATATGCAGAGATTTAGATTACCGTCTGTATTTTCTTGTAAACTAAGCCGGAAGTAGCAATCAGCTGTACACACATTTCTCGGAATCTACCGGTGATTGGGTTAAAAATTACCCACAAATCTAACTTTAAAGAATTTTGATACAATGATCAGAATTCTATTTGAAACTATTATCTTATCAGGAATAATTTATTCCAATATATGTTATTTTAGTTCAGCTTTACTATATATATTTAAAATAAGTTAATAAGCGCAGCACGTTGGTACAGCTGATTGCTATTGCCGGATATTTTGTCGGATGGAACAATTTGACCAATCACTGAGAATGCTCCTGCGCTCGCAAGAGCAAAATCATTATGTTGAAATATAGTAGTCAAACTACAATAAATATGACTTTCAGCAAGTCAATGTATGGCATTTATGATATATATATATCCATTCTCTATCCACTAAAATTCATTTCAAGGGCGCCAATAGCATTAATATAACCGTGTTTGCTATAAATAACGGTGATATACGATCACTTCACATTCGATTTCGCCAAGTGAATATAAACAATATTGAATGAAGGTTTGAGTAAAATTAATAAAATCGATTACAAACATCAGTCCAGATATATAATGAATGCTTTATATAACCAGACAGTGTAATTACATGATTAATTTGCGTACTTCAGTACGTATTTGTTGACATGGTATTTCCGGTGTTACATGCTCACAGTAATATCTTTGTGTTCTTCAAAACTCTTCAATCCTATGTATAAGACGACGCCCCTTGAAACCCCCCTCTAATTCTAGGTATGAAAAACTTGCCTTACACACAGCAATATACGGTATACGTTTTTGTGAAATCTGTAAGTTGAAAAACTTGACAGGGCGAGGTGAACAAATGTTACATTTTAAATTCGGAGTGCAAACCTGTGTGCAATCCAAACAATGTGGATGTGGGTCTTACGTCAACTTTTTGCCATTACAGTTAATGCAATTCGCAAGCATAAATTACGCTTGAAAAATTGAATTGTGAAGGTAGACTCATAAACATTGATAAATAAACCAAGGTTTACATCAGAAAAATACAGTTCAAAGTGTTAAATAACAAGAGTGAAAAATGCCACTGGTGGCTAAAGGTATTGATGAATTGAATATGATACCTCGCCAACAATTGCAAAATGTAACTACTGCGTTGGCAGATGAAACAAGACACGTATTTTCATCAAAATGGCGGAAAAACAACAAGCCATGTGAATGAAGAAGACAAAGGTCTTCCCACGTGGAATAAACATATATTATTACACAAAGACGACCATAAGGTCGATAAAGGTATACCCCACCTGTTGCAGAAGAAATTTAACATGGAAGCAAATTGCAAATAACAAAATTACAGCCACATATTCAGGACCAAGGCAAGAGAGAACATATCTGTCGATGACAAGCAGGAATGTGGTAAGATGTGATGTAACTTCCGGCAATCACGCGACAGCTGTGAGAGGTGGTCCTCAGGCAGAAGTAGACTTGAGGACCACCGCAAGGCACTTTTTCTGTCATAAGGCAGAAGATGCATTAAGCATGTTAAGGAGTAATGCAGGATAAGTAAAAAATATATGTAACAGCCATAATTTGTGTTTTCAATATAGCTACTGTGGTAACCATACAGAAAATCAGGATTTGAACCTCTTGAACAAATTAGCTTGCATCATTGGTTGGAACAATTATGCAAAGTTTCATCTCCATTGGTCTCTGAGGAGGAGATGACAATGCGGGATCAATGATGGCTACCCAACAAACAGGCCATCAGATAAAAATGACATAGTTGCCAAATTAAATCAGATTTTTAGAAACACCATTATCTATGATGATTCATGCAAAGATTTAGCTTCATAGGCAATGTGGTTTCAGAGATGTCCAAAATGAACAGCCAACAGACAGCCCAACCAACTAAGACATAAACTCACTTGACTTTCAGACAGGTGAGCTAAATTTCATGATTGAATTGTGCCTCCAAGTATCCTTGTTTGGCAAGTATCAAACACAAACCTTTTCTGATGGTCTTCCGGGTTGTTTGTGTATCCATATCTCTTCAACTACATGTAATTTCTTGTCATGTTTAGTGGCTTCCCGTCTTTTCCTCTTCGTCTCGAAGTCCTGATGATTGCTTTCAGTTAGTGACTCTTTCTTACTCTGTCGATGGAATGTGATCTTGTTTTCTCCTGTCGTGACAGTTTCATTTTGAAACAAACGATTGCTTCTGCTAGATTTATATTCTTTGTCTGTAATTAAACTGTCAACAGCATGACAAATGGGTTTTGACACTGTCGATTCGTTCCAACATGAACGCTTATGATTCTCTAGGCTCACCCTCTTTCCAAATGTTCTATTACAGTTCATGCAGCTGAATGAGAGAGATGTGTGTGGTGAGAGATGGTCAGCTTCATTAGCCTTGTTTGGACTTGTTTTGGGAATCTTAGAACCTGTAGTACTTTTGTAATCACACAAAACACTGTGTCTTTCAAGATTACTTTTCCTTAAGAATGACTTGCAGCAGAAAGAACAGATATTTTGTTGGGGAACTTGTCTGTAGGATGAGCTAGAAACTTTAGTCTGCGAACAATACTTCTTATGATTAGTAAGGCGACCTTTCTTCCAAAACACTTTGTCACACCTCTCACAGGATAATTGATGAGAGTACTTCTGTACTGTTTTCACCTTCTTTTTAGGCACATCTAGCAAGGGAACATGCCGACTGGCAAATGTGTGCTTGACATATTTTGAAGTATGCTTCACTGTGGCTGCAGTGCAAACATTTTTCCCCCGTTTCTCCTTGGCAACTTTTTTTTCATCCATGGATTCATTCTCAATCACGTTTTCTGTTGTCTTGCATCTTTCTTTTAAATCTGTGGTAAACTCAAGTTGGTCCTTTGCCTGAATGCATGTCTTGGTTACATTCTTTGTGAACGCAGATTCTCGCAAGATTGTCCTCATCTTATTGATCTGATTTTGTGTTTTCTTGTGATTTACACGCAAATGTCTTGTCAAACCCCAGAAGTAGAAGAAGACATTTGAGCAATATGGACAAGGGAAGAAAGTGCGCAAACCAGAATGTCTTTTTTGTATATGATATTTTAATGTTTTACTGGATGAGTATGTCACATTGCATTGAAGACACTTTAGTAATGCAACATTATACGTATTGCTAACATTTGTTTCTCCCTTTTCAAATTTCCTTTCTCTCAATATTATCTTTTCAGAATTATTGAGTTCTGTGGCATGTGTTGATATATTTTCCTCTTCCTGTGGGATATCCATTGGACTTAGCAAAATGTCTGGTGAAAGGGGAGTGGGCGTTTGCTGTATAGAATCACACATGTTTTTATTCAAATCAGACTGAATCAGGTTCACTGATGCATCCATCACATCTGATTTGACTACAGAGGGTAAAGGGGAAGAAAAATCTGTCAAAGTTTGAATTTCAGGCTTAAAAGTTGAGGCTTCCGTGATGCAAGCTGGTGCTTGTACTTTATAAAGACTTTGCCTTGAGGCCTCATCAATATCTTCACAAGATACTCTCACGGCATTGGAATTTGATGCAATTTGAGAAAGAACAACACTAAGAGTTTTTTTTGTTTTCTTTGGTCGATCAACTTTTTCTGCAGCTTTAGAATATAGCTTATACATCTCTGACTTTCCCAAAAGTCCACAATTAATTTGAGTAATGGTATCTCTCACTCTATCATCTGCTGACTTATGGCAAGTTCTATCTTCGTCTGTTTTTGTGTGCATATCTTCTGGAGCTGTTGGTTGAACGACTACAACCTCATCCTCTGGCAAACTATCAAACATGCTCTGGTGGGTCATGATATATGCCTGTTTACAGTAAACACGTTTATGGGCAACAAAATTTGGGAGAGCACGAAATAAACCACGACACACTCTGCATTCAAGTATGATATCACACTCATCAAGCAACAAGCATCTAACTTCTGGGGAACCGTAGTGAACACTATTCAAGATTTGCTCAATCATGCGACCGCCTAATTGAATAGATGTTCTTATCTGAGAAAAGTCAATATCAGCCACATTCTCTTCTCTTGCTTCATCTTCAGCCATTGTTTACCAGTTAACCTGAAAAATTAAAGATGTCCATCAAGCCCTTTTCATTTAATATCCTTAATGAAAACAAGATCCTACAGTAACTTGCAATGAGCAGGAGGTGTTCTCTCCTCAGTTCAGTGTAGGCATTACTAGATCGTTTTATATGTGTATCTAAATACTTTTTGTCAGGACTCTGGAATAGCAATTCCCATATGGGCATTTCGTACCAAACCCTTGGGACCTACAGCTGGTACCCATGTAAGGGTAATAGGGGGTCGGGTACCCTGGCAATAACTTAGGACCAGCCCTAATTTGCATTCATCATCCATTCATGTGCACACAAGATGTGATGTCGCCTTGATTCAAGGATTACATAGTAGGTTAATGTATCACTATGTACAAAAGCCAAGTACAGTGAGTGAGTAATAATTTTTTATGAATTATTATCTATACTTACAAGCATTGTTTTTTGCTTAATGCCGCACTCAGCAATATTACAGCCATATCAAGGTAGTCTGTAAATATTTAAGACAATCCAGTGATTGAAATCATGTGCATTGATCCACACAAGGGGATACGATGATATGCATCAATCAAGTCAGCGAGCCAGAACACCTGATCCTGTAAAGTCACCACTTACGACAAGCACAATTATTAATATCTAAATATTTTTTACATTTGTATACTTACCTGCATTACTCTTAAAGCATTTGCTGCATTCTTTTATCAGAAAAATTGAAGCTGTGCGAGGTCCTGCTGAAACAATGTTGTTCCAACCAGACCCCTTCGCACAGTTCCCATGAAAGTGATGACATCACATATTCTTCACATTACTGCTTCAATTGTAACATCTGAAGGCATTGTGGGGCCCTTGATGTGGTAATGCAGGATAAAAATAAAAATGTAAAAAATATTTAGATTTTATGATTTTTTAAAACTTATACTGCATTTTTTCCTTATGCATTTGAATCGGACAGTATGTTAGAGGGTATACCTTCCTAAGAAAATGAGAACGACCATGCAGCTGTCGGATCTCTGATAGAAGAAACGAAACGTCTGCTGTAGCAAGGAGTGAGAGGGAGTTGTCCTCTGGTTGTGCAAACCAGTATGATGATGTCGGTTGAGATGGTGATATGTGATATGGAGTGATATCGCTAGGATGAACACCTCCAACACAAGATTGTTTATGTGCTATATGCATTGTACCTCTGACCACAGCCCCGAGGCCGTCTGGTCCTCTAGATGCGCAGCCCAACCATGCAGCGAGGTGTCTAAGGACAGGCATGACGTTAGTGACACTTCTGTTAAGGAGACTCCTCCTAAGACATTTGATTCTACTGTCCACCACCTGAAATGCGGCCTGAGGTGAGGCGGTAGAGTGATGATGCACAAGGATCCCGACATCTGATGTATGGCACAAGGAACAGCTGGACGGGATGCAGGTTTAGGCGTACTCTGATCTTAAGCCACTGGTCACATAGAACCATTAGGAGGTTCAGGTCTGTCTGAAACAGGCCTCCTATGAATTGAAGCCGGTATGATGTGGTGAGTTCAGAGTTCACCTTATTGACCACCCATCCCAACTGATGGAAAAGGCGCCTGGAAAATTCCTGGTGAAGGAGCAGGGTTGCCAAGCCCAAATGGTTCAAAAGAATAAATGTAGACTTTGAACTGTATGTTCCTCAGATGGAGGTAGGTGGCCACTGTCTTGGTGATGCGGGTAAATAGCCAGGGGGCCACTGAAATGCCGAATGGGAGGACCGCCCCTTGGTAGTGGATAGCATTGAATTGGAACCTGAGGAATCTGCTGAATGGATGCAGGTACATGCAGGTACGCATCCTGCACATTGAGACTGATCAGGGAATCGTGGGCAATGATTCTTGTCCTGAGCAGGCTCGAGGTTGTCATTCAGAAGTATGGAGGATGCTCGATACCCATAGCACAAGATGTATGTGACGTATGGGTCTTCCAAGATGGCCCAATTCTGCCAGAAGAGACCTAATCTCCCACCTACAGGTGTGTCGACAACTTGGACGAGTGGGGGTGGGAGGAGTGGGTCCGAGGTTCACCGTTTCCCCTTCCTGTCCCCACCCCTGCCTTGGAACTTGTCATGGTGGGATTGATAAGAACCTTGGGGCTTCCCTTTCCAAGACCTCTTCCATCAAAATGAAGCCTAGTCTAGAGTAGGATCATCGAAGGGGGATCGCCATGCACAGAAGTTGAGCTAAGTTCTGGGAGACATATTCTAGTGCCTTGAGGGGCGTCTTATCTCGCTCATAACTGGAGACCCAGAAAAGTGTGGCCGATATCTGGTCAATAAAGAGAGAAGTCGCAGACCAGGGCTGGCAAGGAGTCTAACGCTTGAATTCGTAATCCCATCTGGTATGAGCCATGTATCCCAGATGGTGGTAATCTCACCAAGGGCAGCCTTAACTCTTTCAACACCAGTCAACCAGAAGCTTTTACTGCTGTGACACTGATTTCCCTGAGACTCATGTGATACACCATTTGAAAAGGTCTAATCCTTATGTTTACACATTTGAAAGATTTTTTATCACATTATTTAAACAATGCATTTACAACTTAATTAAGTTTGTTATAAGTATAAAACATGTAAGCTTCATTCATGACATCCAGATTAAGCACCAAGGAAGCAAACATTTGACTATTTTCTGCAAATATAAGATTGCATAATATCCACTTACCTATTCATTTTTATTTTCATTGTTTACATAATTGGAAAATTATTTTAGAAAGGGTTTTAAATAGTATCTGTCATCACCCATTTCCCCGATAACAGTGGCTGTCCACTCAATAATGAGGAAATAGCTTTGTATGAACAACACTTATGGCGTCCCCTAAACAACAGTAACCTCCTCTTGAGTCTTTTCGTAGCTGTAACATGTGACTTTATTGGATAGAAATTGGTTTCTTATGACGCTTTCTTGCCAAAATCTGCTACAAGGTTATGATTGGTCAAATCAATTACTTTTTATAATATTTTTAGAGATTAGCATGAAACGCCTTCATTTTGCTCTTTGACATGTTGGATGTGGACCCGATTGTTGAAGTATGTGTCCGAGAATTTTATTGTCGATAACATTGCGGGAAATAGTGAATAAATATATATATATATATATATTTAGTGAGCTAAATACAATGTTTATTCCTCATGCAAGATATTTACCATCCCCAAACACACTCGCGTGATAACGTCCGTCAGTCCGTCCACCCACCGTGACGTCAAAACAGCAAGCGTAATGGTATAACTGTACTCTTGAAAATCACATGAGTGAAACCGGTTGAGTAAATTATACATCTCATCTTTGGACTTTTGTATTTTTATCTATATATGATATCATCGGATCAGCATATCGCAACGCCTTATGAATATATATATGATAATTGAAATGAATTACATATTTCAGATATTGTGAAATGTGATAGATTTAAAAAATGAATATGACTGGCAGGTTTCTAAAATTATGTACTATTTTGACGTGGCTATGGCTTGGACGGTCTACCAGTATGCAGTGTCTGGGGACTCGTGACTGTTTGGGCGATGTACCGGCCTGCGGTACTGAAAGAGTTAAGAAGATTCCTTATGTGGTTGATCTGCCGTTGCTGGTAAAAGACGACCGTCTGAAGATGATCCACTTGGTTAACATTCGCCTCAGTTAGAACCTGGTCTATGGCACAAGATGAAGAAGCCAGAGCCAAAATCAGTTTCAAGGAACATCTAATTTCTCTCAATGAACACCATTAGGGTATCAGGGATCTTGAGTGTAGATGGTTCCGAGGACCCTGTCATTCGATCAAGGTGGTTGTCCAATACATGAGCTATGTCAGCCTCTTCAAAACCAATGATGGGGAGGCGTGTTAAAGGTTGGACAGAGAGAGCCAAGCAAAGTTAGGTGGAGGCCCCAGGTGATGCTGAGCCATGGAAAGACAGAGCCCTAGAGGAAGGATCACCAATGATCGCCGGAGGTGTAGGCACAGGTGCTAATAGTGAAGGAGGCACTGATAGAGTAGGAGGCGCTCTTGCAGAAAACAGCTGAGATGCATAGGTCTGTTGGAGCATAGATTGCATAAAGCTATGCATCCACCCAGGGTTCATGTAAGATGAAGATGTCTGTGGGTACGCCGAAGTTCTGGTGGGAAACCAAGTGGAGCAGGAAGACCATATCCCTGTAGAACAGCAGGTGCCGACATCAAAGGTGGCACTGTGAGAGGTGCCAGGGTAGGCGGAGGCGGCAGCTCCAGCAGCGATGGAGGCATGGGTAGTACATGTCAGAGGAGGTGGCGTTGGCGTAGACTGGTCAGACGTAACAACAGGGGTGTACGAGACCACACAAAATAATCAAAATGGTCGATTGGAACAACAAAGCACATGAGAAGTAGTCACCCTCACATGCAAAATATTAATGCAATAACAAATATTCATGGTAGAACATGAAAACACCAACCTGTTGATACATACAGTTCATAAACAATGAAATTCCAACAGCTTACACAAACTTATTGAACACAACTTGCCAGTCTGGTGATAAGCAGTGATGTCATCACTTCCATGCTCATGTGGGAGCTGTGTGATAGGGTCTACTTCACAACTGGTTGGAACAACTTTTCTTCAGCAGGACCTCAAAGCAGTAAATGCATCAAAAGTAATGCAAGATGAGTTAAACAATTTGCATGTTACGGGTTGCTGGAGACCTATTCTAACACAGATCTTCACAAAGTTGACGAGATGTGAGGTTGTTGCTTCCAGAATCTCTTTGATTTTACTTTTTTCAAAAACATAAAATTTGATATTAGTGATCTAGGGCTATTTATCTCATTGTTGGGCATTTTCGTTTTACTGCACTTAAGTGTAATGCAGCAATTAAGAACATTTTTAACAGCGTGGGAGTGTGTACATCAAAAGTACTGCTGTGTGACCTCATACGAGACTTAATTTACGAAATATCGCGATAATTACCACGATCCACAAATCAAGGTTTCCTTACATACCTGTGTATGAGAAACCCATTTGAGGTAACTGGTATCAAACATGTGTGAGGTCAAATTCCAGGCCTGTGATTGGCTACTCCATGGTGATTACCTGAGGTAAGATTATGACAGACTACTTTCCTGATTGTAATTCATTGGTAAGTTACTCATGCTTCAGTCGAATTCTCCTTCGTCTGTGTCAATACTTCATGGTCTGAGAGTGTCAATAAATGTTCTTTGGTCTTGTCTAGCTTGCATTATCATCATTGCCTTGATTATCTAAAGATATGGCTGAACACTATTTTGGTGGAGTGTCACACTAGGTATGGGTAGTAAGCAGTAGGCCAGATGATGTCACAAAAGACTTGTGTTATGTTTTACTGTGCCACTGTGATCATGAGAATAGACAGAATATGCATCTATTCAATACAAAAATGGTACGATTTTAGGGTGTGCAAGAAACAGATCATGGCAACACAAATGGTAGATCTATCTGAAAAGACACTTGTATTTTACTATAGCCACGAATTTTGGAAATTGTTCTGTTTATCTTATATTACCTTCTTGTAAAAAATATAGAATCCATCACAATAGGCCTACTGATTTGCTGAAACAAGGTATTTGTCAAACTTCAAACATAATCGCATCAGAACAAAGATACCGCACAATTTCCTTGGGAATAGTTCGCAAAACATCTAGTCTAGTAGGCCTAGTGGGATTGATGAGACACGTGGTTGCGCATACATAACATTTTACACGACATTGTGGGTGTTCACCATGTACTAACTGTTAAAATATTATGCAAAATTACACCAGATAGAAATAATATATTCTCAATTTAAGCAAATCAAACATATTTGTTAAACCTGACTTGACGTTAGCTACCATTGCTGGCAATGTAGGCCTAGTAGTAGGCTAAATAACGTTCTTGATCACACTCAGGGCTCGAGTCAGCAATGATGGTTGGTGGAGGCAGATGCTTTTATGCAGATCTAGCATGTTACTGTATGTCATTATATACGTACCACCATAATATCATCGCCGTCATTGAAAGGAATCTCTAAACTTCAATGGCGATCGTACGTAACCTTTTTTGTACACTCGGACTACTAGGCTACTCCGGAAGAAAATGTATGGATCGAAATGATTTGTTCCGAACCAGCACTCCACTAGCCTATCTACGGTAAAGTAACCTCGATATCTTGAGGAAAGTGTATACATCATACTGTTCAAACAGTATGCGAATGAAGTCCCCACCTTTATGCTGCCTGCACCTTCTTATAAACAGTAATTTCACTGTTGAATATACTGGACACCACCTTCCCTGCATTCACCGAACTAGGCCATACCGAAGGCGTCTCACTCCTTTCGAATAAAGTCGACTCTTTCCGCCTCTCGCCGTACACAAAATTCGTAACCACTCGTGTCATTCCGTGGCAAGCTGGTATCCGGCACTCTCTGCGCGCGTCAACTTGCGCAAGCTGGGAGCCGGGATGATCACTTTGAAGTTGATTTGTACTCAAAATACACCACGCACAAACACACACCACACAGTTTTATATTATGCGGGGAATTTTCTGTTCTGTGATATCACCCGCAGTTATCTTTGGCAAAGCAAAATTAATGAAAACAACCTCTGAAACTTAGGTTCATCGTATAGCTAAAACGGCACCTCAGCAAAACGTCACCATTCGAAAACGGCACCGATTGGCGAAAACGGCACCTTATTTATTTTTTTACCCTCGTAAAATAAATGAAATAAAACTTACATGGTCACTTGCAAACACCAATAATTGTGAAATGTTAAAAGGGAGATCCAGATAAATTTTTTAGCAATTGAATTTTTACTTAAAGGTTTCTATTTTGGGTTATTACATTTTTCATTGGGTAACCAATATTCTTTTTCACTCATCTATTTATCACTCTTTGGGTTTTTTCCCCAAATGAGCTAACATTTTAAGATTTCAAAAAGACAAAATAATGTTTTAGATGTATGTAACGGTTCTAACTAAAGGCATCACTTGGAAAGTAATATTAGCTCGTAATTGTGCTTCGGAAATTAGCTCCATTGTACTCATGTAGAAAAAGCTCCATTTGGGTATTTACGCATGCTGTTTTTATACTTTTGCGTCTTTTTCATTTAATGCATGTATTTCTGTACGCAAATTTATTGAATGTAATTGGGTTTTGAATATTGTTTGGGGGGTATTTTACGCAAATAAGCTGATTTGGAGTTACAACAAGTTTACATTAGAAATTAGCCTCTACTCCAACTATATTCCAACTTAGCCTGAACGCAGCTCAACTTATTGTGAAAACATAACATGCTTTGAAGTAAAATATATGAAATTAAACTCTCATCGTTTCTTAAAAACACCAATAATTGTGAAATGTTAAAACAAGTTTGCATTAGAAATTAAGCCCCAACTCCAATTCTAATGTACTTAGGTATGTTAGTAGACTGACGCTTACTCTCTGAAAATATATAATTTTGATAGAAACTGAGATGAGAGATTCAGCTTTTGGAAAATTGTAGACTTGCTTAATTATTTAGGGCTATAGCATTACAGAAAGGGGAAGGTGGAAAGAAAACTAATAAGGTTCAGGTTCTGTGAGGCAGACTAGTGTTTTAGTAGTGAAACATTGAAAAAAGGATTTATACCTGGAGCAAATTTACAATATGTTCGCCACTACAAATAATGTTTAAAACTGTTTGACTTTCGCTCCAGAATACCAGAGACCATATAATAGCACCCGATCCAGGAAATATTACCTACTACTAGCACAGAGTTGTTAGCAACTATGACCTGCTACTAGTAGGTACAAAGACGGTCTCTACGTCTCTGGAGACTAACATTTACTGCTACTACTAGCTAACGGCAAAGGAGCATGTCTAAAATGATTTTCATTGGTCAACGAGTCTACGTCGACGGTATGCAAGCCAGGCTCTGTCTCAACAGAAAAATAAATAGATTACCGCAGAGCAACTTCAGCCTGTAACCAGCTAGCTTTCTAGATGTAGAAGTAGCTTCGTAATTGTGAAATGCGCCATGCAAACCTTTCAACCACCATTCCAGTATGTTCCCAGTCACCTGGAATTACAAATAGAATCTACATTATCATGAAGAAAATTATACGGTAACCATTGATAATTACATCACCAGCTGGTCATGTGGCCGATGTAGTCTTTGAAGTTGGTAAGGAAAATGGTGAGGGGCGGAAGAGAATTTTGCATCGTAAACTCCTGCTGCCAGTTGGTTCTATGCCTAGCCTTGGTGTGCCAATACCCAAACCAAGACGACAGAGGACACTGCCAGTAGCACCAGTTGCTAGGACAACAGAAAGTAACGACGATGTTTCATCGGATGAGGATACTGTTGTTGAGTATGCCCACCCTCCACAAGCTTCAGTGTCCACTGATATACCAGTGGATGGGCCAACTGAAGAGGAACCATCAGAGACTGTATCTGAAGGAGATGGAACTCCTATTGCAGAGGGGGAGGAAGAGCCAACTGAGGATGCTGTTCAGCATGTTGAGCAGATTCGTGAAGAAGATGGCGCTACTGGGACAGATCATGATGATGACAATGACAATGAAGAAAGAGAGCAACATCCAACTCCAGAGATAACCACTCCTGTTCCACGTCCACGGCAGTCTACTAGGACCCGGACACAGCCGAAATGGATGAAGAGTGGAGAGTTTGCTCTCTCTGCAGTTGCAGATCGGGACTGGCGTACGCGAGCCAACTTTCTCAGCTCACTTCAAGCTGACGGATTGTTCCGAGAACAGCAGCACCGACTTTCTGATGCCATCTTGGATCTTGTCACTGGCAAGGTAAAGTGGCGTGGACGTCATTTTTCGATGGAGGGAAGTATGTGGCCGATGTAGTTTTTGTATATATTTGTTTTAATTTCATTTTAGTTTTTTACGTATATTTATCATATATAACTAGTTGTCCGTTTCAGTCAGCTAAAACAAAGTGTATCTGACCTGTCTTACCTACTAACTGCCCCATGGCCAGAAGCTTCATCTGCTGATTGGCCAAGCTAACACCTATTGTTAAACTGCATGCTTTGATTACACTGCATACTCTCTCAGCACATAAACTGACAGAACTGCTCAGACCAGCAAAGTGTAAAGAGAGAATATTAAATCAGGTGAGTTAAATAGTTATAATCTCTATCTTGTGTTGTATTTAAATAATACAGTATGTTCAAAGTGTTATATGAAGTAAACTAAATGTATGTAATCTAACATAAATGTTGATTTATGTCTAAATATTTAAATCTGCATAGGATAAGCTAAACATCCATACTTTATCACTAAAATGTATTCTATCACTTCAATGAAATATGTGTGAAAGTGTTTTACCTCAAGAGTGTTTTAATAAGCTTTGTAATGTAGAGATTTAGATGTGATACAATGCAAATCATTGTAAAGAAAATGTGTGTATTATTTTGTTCAATATATTAAATGTTAAATAGTGTTTTAGTCTATGTATTGTTTATTCAGATAATCTATGGTGTTGCTATATAGGCAGTTGGGATCCACACCCTTGTATCACCCACAGGGTATGCATTGTGTTATTTATATTTGTCTAAGACTTACAATGTAATCTAATTGTGATGACCACATTTAATGTAATATCATATCATTAATTTCTGTCTTAAAGTATTGTATATGTTTATGCAGAATGTGTAAGCGTTATGCATTTATATTATGTATATATATTGTGTATATATTATAGTCAAATGAAAGTCAAGGAGTTATCTCCCTTGAATGTCGGTATTGTTGATCATGTACATACTGTATATGTTCTAGTATAATCGTTTAAGGTTCAGTCTATCTTGTGTTTAATGGATGACTAATATATGTAAATAATTACTTGTAATACGCCTATGCTATGTATCTAGCATTAATGATAATGTTTTACTTAGTATTTATTGTGATATTATGTGTTTCAGGGTGTATGATATATAGATCCTTATCACACTCGACGCATCGCAATAAAGACCTCAACCCCGTAGCATGTGTTTGTTCGCTAGAAAAAGACCTTCACTAAACTGCTACAGTCACATGACCACGTCATGCATCATCGTCATCCGCCGCCATTTTGTGTAAGGTCACGTCATTTGTTCCACTCAACCTAGGCCAAGTTTAGGCTAGTTAATTGTGTGTTTTCTCTAAATAGAGCACAACAAACGTGGGTGTTTTCATAACAATAAATACTCTTCAATATTGCTACCATTGCCACAAATGGGAACGTAATGTCGTGCATGTTTTCTACAGGTAGCCTTGCATTCTTTGCGTCACTAGAAACAACGTCGACGTGCACAAGCAAGGTCACGCATCATAAATGCCTTTTATTCTTAAAGAAAGAGTGCTTTACCGAAACAGTATGTCCTACAGTGCTACCTATCGTATATTGTATTGGAGTTGTTGCCTAGTATCAAGCGCCCATGTTTTGACGCGAATCACTTGCATCCAAAGACGATTGGGTCACGTTCCTTTTCAGAATCGCTCGTTTCTTTTAGTCCAACTGGTAGTAATTACTAGTAATTAGTACTTACATATATATACTATTATATGTCGTATTTTGTTTACATTTCAGCAGTATGCATCGGAGGCAGAAAATTTATTCAAGCTCTGAAGTCCCAAACAACTGAAAATGCTCCAAAACACCATCACGTGACCCTGGTATTCTCAAAGTGCTGGTGAAAGTGTTTGTTTTGTAGGCCTAAATGTTTGTTGATAGTAGAGAGGCTGATTGATAGACTTTATAACAAGTCAAATTGTGTTGTCATATTTTAAGATTATGACTAGGCCTACAGCATCTAACTAACTGTAATCCTCTGATAACTAAATGTCTGAAGGCAAAATACCATTTTATTGATGAATATATCTCCATTTAACTCGTACAATTTAGTGTAGGGTGTAATGTTGGAATGTTTTTGTTGACAGTAGCAGACACTACATCTGCCTATGAGCAATGGACAGAACTGAGAATACCATATCATGAACCGTAGTGAACACTGCTAGCAACATCCTGTTTTAGTAAGTATAATTGAATCCCCAATTATAATGTCATTGTACATACAAAAAATGACATAGTGTTGTTTTTAAAAAGTGATCTGTTTGGCAGTGTTTTATATATTGTATATTTTTCTTTTCACTTTGTCTACTGGCCTGCATTTGTCCTTGTCATTTTCCTGTTATTTCTGATACATTCCAAAATAAGATTTGTCTGTACAGTACCAGCACACTTTAATAAGGACTAAGAGCAAATGTGCCTATTTCTCAGTGTTTTAGACAATTTGTGTTGTACCCAAATAGAGGGAATATTGTTACTGTAGTTCTTGTCATTGTCTTGGTGGCAAGTGCCACATTATCATGGGCACTACTTCAGCATGTTTAGTTATACACATTTACCAGTGAAGATCAGGGTCAGAATAGGTCTTCAGCAAACCATGCTTGCTTTAAGAGGCGACTATCCTTGTCATAAGAGGCAACTTACATGATTGAGGGGTCAGGCTCAGAGACCATGTTGATGCATGTCATCGTATCCCATTTGCATGGATTGATGCTCATGATGTCAATTACTGGATTGTCAGGTCCATATTTGATTATTTACAGGCAGCTGTCAAAGCACGAATATTGCTTAGTACAGCATTAAACAACAAACAAACAAAGTTATACAGTTCAATTTTTTAAATAATCTTATACTCTAGTATTATAATGTGCTATTTTTATTGATTATTATGAATACAGACTGTTTGTATCAGTTTGTAAGAGACACAAACCAAGGTTCCAACAACTATCTGCACATGCTTTGTCGTAACACAATTAATATGGTATCTTCAGGTTATGTATGTTTGTAAAATGTGCTAGAAAGTGTCCACTTTAGTTGTAAAATCAGTATCTTCCTCACAACAGAGCTAATGTGCACTACCTTGTTGTGGTATTTTTTGTTGAACTCGTCTCTGTCTTTCTCAAGTTATGTTTGTGCACGGTGCCTACCTGGTGTATTGATAATATTACCTGACAAGAGTCAAGTTTGCTCATCATATTCTGAAATAAGTGTCTCCAATCTAATAGAAATGGGAAAAGTAATACAAGCGAGTCACCATCATTTTAACCGGTGCTAGGGATGTCAGCATAAAGTATATGTTTTTTTATTAATATTATAAATATTAAAACTCTTTGCACCTGGATTGGAAGAATTGAACATTATAAGAAAACTGCTATGTTCCTTTTCAGCTGACAGGCTGTTTGTGGAAGATGTAAGGTCAAGTGCTAGCCCCCTGTTTAGTTTAGACCTACATTGTAAATGTTGTGCACTGGACCATGGAGCCTGGTCACTACAGGGTTTACCCAAACCTCTTAAAACTGGGGACAAATTCAATTTCTAATCTTAAAAATATCATCTTGATTCTCTAATCATACTGTTAAAATTATGTTTTACGTACTTATCTTATCTCTGTGGAATTCCTAATCCAATTAAATAGTAATGTCCAATATTTTTTAATATATTTGCAGATAACAAATTGCTATAGACTAATAAGGCAACTGCTATATTATATTCTGACTCTTTACTGGACTCACCAGACTCTGCACTGTATACTACTGAACACAATGAAGTATCAACGTCTTTTCATTTCGGAATTCAAGTAGCAAGCGGTAGCCTGTTGTCTGGTACTTTAAAGTATACTATAATGCATGTACTAATTCTTTATACTGTAAACACATAACATGTTTTGCTTGAGCAATTCTTCCTGAAAAGCCCCCAAGTTTGAAACGCAATTTAGTTACATTGTGCTCGATGTAGTAAGTCCAATTAATAATAGTCAATATGTCAACACTAAAATCCTGTTCGGGCTAGTTGACCCATCATTTTGGGGCACAGGCTGCTCATGTAATTCAATATATGGTGACAATGTTGCACAAGGTTCTGTTGTGTGTATTTCAATAACTTGCACATTTATGAACTTTAACCTTAATGTAATCCTTGAATCCAGTGATGCTTTATTTTTACATTTCTTTAATAACCTACAATTGTTATGAAGCTGTCATTTTTTGTGTGGTTCCAGGAATAAAGTCACCAGAAATGTATTCAAAAATTTTATCTGATTTTGAGCATGACGAACATGGCAGATATGTTTAAAATGTTGTTTTTTTCCACTACTCAGATATTTAAGTTATTGTACAGTAAGTCGTCTGTAGTGTACTCTGTGCTAGTAGTAGGTAATATTTCCTGGATCGGGTGATAATAGAGGGACGGCCCTCCCCAACAGTTTATCATAAACCATCAGCGCTACGGTCTGGCATGTAACTGATACACCCCGACACCCTGCTGTTAACCTCCCTGTACCGCTGCAGATGCGCAATAGATGCGCAGACATTCACGACTGACCATTCTGGTAACCACGTAAACAATATTACATAATATCCGGGGTAAGAGTTAATTCCCTTAGCCGAGATTTCTCCGACTACGACCAGCGACAATCCAATAAAAGGACGTCTCTTAGCGGATTACAATGATTCTTTTTATGATATCTCTCACTAGCACATGTCAGTTGGCTGCAAATTATTTGCTGAACATGTGTGTCTTCCGGGACATTTATTTTCAATTTACATTCGCTACAGCCATGGACGACTTCATTCACTTGGACGATTTCGTTTTGGACCTAGATATGCCACTTGAAGAATTCCCTCTCTTCGACCAGGGGTTGGTTTCGGATGACTCTTGGTCTAAATAGAATGACAGTAATGTTACCGCTACCAAGCCGTTGGTAATACCTCCCCAAAAGTTTCACTCAAAGAAAAAGATAGGAAATGAAAATATGACGTCTGTCCACAAGCGTAAGTTTTCGAGGGCGTGTGAAGAAAAAGCCGTTCCGATATCAAAAGTATTTTATAACGTATTCTATTTGTTTTAAAAATCAGTTAACATATCTCATTTTATGCTGCAATTGTTAACTATTATAAATAAACAAATATACCAAATCTACTACGAACGCCACAGAAAACTACGATCCGGTAAATTGCACAGGAACTCAGGAAGTGTAAATAAAACTCATCCAGAAGCAGGGAAAACACTTGTAACATATCACCATATTCCCGATGTTCACAAAATATATCTCCAGATTAACTTCATATCTTATAATAAGTCCAGACTAGATTTACTTGCAAAAATGCATGATCACCGACTGGTGTAAATGCTTTACTATTAGCCAGAAAAAAAATGACGCCATATTAATGTTTTTATTTCATGTAAATTCGCTACTATTTTATAATGCTAATAGTTCCAATGAATTAAAAATACACCTTAAACTACGAGCGTTGTTAAATGAATTTTCGATGTGTCCGACAATGGGCTTCGAAAGAATCAAATGTTATTGGTTAATGCCAGTTTGGGGCTATAGCAGTGATAATGGGGTTTGCCGGAGCGAGGTAAGTTTTTTTTCAAAGGGAGGCTACTGTTAAATTCCAAAGCAAAGAGGACGATTGTAATTTTACAATCGTTATTCGATATTACCCGATTAGATTGATATTTCAGCATACAAATAATTAGGTATTTCAGGTATAACAATATAGCTTCAACGAGCATGGTACCAGATATGTACTAGTATATCGTAAACTGTAGTAACGTTTGTTGTTTTCAAAATCCTTTCATCATAGTTTTCTATATCTGATCAATGAAAAACAAACTTTAAACTCTAACCAGGAACGAAGCATGCAACTATTACTATTAAAACAAAACAAACTCTGACATATGTAAATGTATTTTTCACAGAAAAGGACAATAGACCATTTATATATTTTACTGAATGACACCTTCGACCTTGTTGTCTGGAACTTCTCTCCCGACGACTGCCGATATAATCCTTCTTCTTTCTTGGCATTTACAAAGCAAATGATAATTTTATTATACAAATATTTCGTGTAACGGATTTTTATTTTTGTATGATGTTTTCATTGTTGTGTAAATACACAAAGTAAGTAGTACCTTCATCATATTTATATTATTATGATTGGGTTTAGGCCAATATCATTTTGCTCATAATCAATATTTACACGGCATAAAATAAATAATTGATTAAATGTAGTCATGATTTATACAGACAAAATCTACAGAAGATAACAAATATGCAGTATTGTAGTATGTAGTATATGCGCGATATGTGATAGAAGCCTAACTGAAACAATGTTAAACTTACGAGGAAATGGCGAAAGCAATGGTAAAAAAAATATGCATTTTACAAAAAAATTCTAATATCATACAATATAAGTCACTTTGTAGAATGTTTCAAAGGATATATGCGGATGATAATCACAGACAAAATGCATGTTATGTCGTCTGCTATATGGTAATTTAACTTAAAATATGTGACGTAAAATATGGCCTTGCGCCAAAAATCATACCAAAAAAACTACCGATCGTACCTAAATAACGTTAGTACCAAGCCAAAGGGGAAATCGTGATGAATGTAAAACTATTAAATTCAGGACCGATAATAGGAACACATTCGTCTGAAAGCATGCGAAAATTAAGAGTTGTGGTGTAATTATTTCGGGAAAATTCAGATTTAGTCCCATTTCTGGAGTCAAAATCTGAAATTTCGCATCCGCCCTAAATTTGTTAATGGCACTAAGCCATGTTTTAACATATCTCCTTTTTATACACCTAGGTAACCAAGGACTTGCATTGCGAATTAGAGGCCGTTATTGAAAATCAAGATCTGCACTTTTGCCGATTTTAGATGCGCGCCATTTTGTTCTCTCGGACAAAGACAAAGCGTGATCACAGTCATCAAATACAGTGACAACGACATGCTTTAGGGCACCAACAAATCTCAGTTGTAATGTCAACAATGTTAAGAAATACATGAGTGTAATTCTGTATTGTGAAATATATCTTTTGCATGGGAAAAAATGGCAACAACGATGACTGCAGTGAACGCGTTTCTGCTCGCTTCCGGACAGGCTGCGCAGTACAAGCCGTAGCACTGATGGTTTCGCGCATAGGCTAGAGGGCCGTCCCTCTATTATATGGTCTCTGAGAATACTAAATGGAGATATGTGCCTCAATAACTTCCTTAAATCCAACGTAGATATGTAAAATGGTTCCTAAAACCATTTTGAGATTAATATGATGGGTAAATTGTTAAACTTCATAATTAGTGGGTTTAATAAGTAGCGAACATATTGCAAAGTTATACCCGTGCCAATATACACTTGTCAAAGGGGTACACAAAGTATTCAGTACCATTTGTCGGACTTTCATTTTGTGGAAGCCTCGGTGGCTGAGTGGGTCAGTTCGCTGATTTGGTGTGCTGGCGATTAGGTGCTCACTCTGAGAGCGTGGGTTTGAATCCCAGATGGTACTAGACATGCTAGAATTTGCACTTTACTAAGAAAGATTTTGTTTCCAAATATAACATTTGTTACATTGTACTTATTTAAGTTTGAATACTCTTTACCATCAACATTAGAAGGGGTGGGCGGGGACTATGGTATTTACATGTAACAAAAACCAAGATGAAACTATTCCTGTACAGTTTGTTTTAATTTGAAGGTCACCAGAACTGGGATAAACACCGTAGAGAATGATATCTATCGCATGCAACTTTGTGTTTAATTGACAAACACTGAATAAGAGCAAAATCATCTGCACTTCTTGTGTTTTTTCAATTTTTACTCCGTTCTTCAAAGTGCGCCAATGGCAGTGCTACCGACTCGATATCCGTCATTTGTAGCTTAATATAGAAGCACATAAAAGTGGTAATGCGGAACTAAAGCGGAATACAATTTCTTCTCTTTATACAGATCGCTAATGACAAAAATGCAATTCCTATAAAATTGTCGTGTTGGTTATTATCTGTAATTACTACCCATTGCCATGTTTAATTTCTAACCATGATATCACTCCCAAATGTATTATTTGATTGTCTATCATATCATAACCTTTGTCATCTTCCCGAGGCAAGAGAGTTAACTGACTTTAAAAGTCCAGTTTCCACCCTTGCCGAACTAGGCTGGAATTCCTGGGCTCGATCGTAGCGCCACCAGTGGCTATTACGAGTTATGTCCTTTCTATGCCTCTCCTATTGACCAATCAGATTCAACCTCTCGTATCACTTGCATTTGCTTCAAACAAAACGGTGGCGCCCAGTCAAGACGATCTGATTGATAATCAAGATCTATATTGTGATAAAATGAGTCTTACATCGCGAAGTGCCTCAAATCACGTGAGCCCCTTGATTAAAAGCATGAAAAGATTTAGAAAATATCTGTTGACAACGAGTTAGCGGTGCACATGCTTTGCAAATCCTGCAGTCGACAGAAATCTGCATAACACTTTACGAACCGGATTTCGATTTCGGTGCGAGATTTTGATTGGACTATGCATAGACTCGTTAGTCCAGCCAAAATATATAACTCCATAATACCAGCCTAGTTCGGCAAGGGTGGAAACTGGACTTGTATAGTCAGTTAACTCACTTGCCTCGGGATATGAACCTTTGTGAGGTGGTGACGTGTTTAATAATAGAGTAAATTTTCTGTTAAATAGCTATCTTGGCCACTTCTGAAAAAAAAGTGTTTTCCTACAAAATAGCAAAAGCCAATGAAAATAAAATTATTCTCTAATTTATGTATTTTAAAGATGTTATGCCACTCATTTTTGGTGGGGATATAAGTGTAATAATTCAAGTTCCTAGGATGTTTGTGTTATGCTATTTTTCTAAAGTAGTATAGGTAATGGTGATTCTGGCTCTCTTCCACTGGAGCGAGGTTTATATACCTATACCACTACTACAGAGGGAATTTTTTTTATGTCAAAACGATGATGCGATTCAACGATCGTCATGATATAACTAAATTGTAATGAAAATATTCTCTATTATTTTTAACAAAGTGATATTCAACATTTTTACTAAGTTCTTCGTTCATTTTACTAGGAAACCAGTAGGCCTGGGACGAGTCCAAATTTACTACCCGGGTACCCACCCCCCTATTACTTGACCCTACCCGGGTACCCACTGTAGGTCTCAAGAGATAGGTAAAACATGTCCGATTGAGAAAGTTTGACGGTACTCCTGTCAAAATAAATATAGATACAGGTATAATCCGATCTTGTCATACATACACTGACGTTGACTGATGTTTTATCATTATGCAAACATATAAAGTCAGAAGGAATGTGTGCAAAGTCAAAGAACATTTATCACTTATAGTGTAACCATAGAGTTCTAGATATTTTTTGCCATTAAACAATATAATCACGTGACTAACCACGGATCCGGGTAGTCCTGTGGGTACCCGGGTCCTACTCAGTACCCACCCGACCCGGGTACCCGAGTACCCGAGTTACCCGTCCCAGCCCTAGAGACCAGACTATATACTCTTCTTGGTAATTGGAAAGAAACAATTGATGACCGTATTTGGTTGGTTTGACATCACTAATATAATATATACCCTGTGGTAATTCTCTCCATTTGATTTTGTCCCTTAGCATAAATGCTTCGATAGCTTTTTCGAGTTCTTCCTTTTATTATGGTATGTTTATGGTTCTGTTCAGTTGAACAAAACCTTCCAAATGGCGTGCTGGTTTTCTTGGGGGAATTAGTCAGCAAAGAGCCGGAGTCACAGAAGACTAATCACAATTTTATTTACAAGAACAATTTACAATGAACAATTTACAATATCTTAGAATATAGCTGAGAGTGCCACAGAGAGTCGGTACAACCTTCGTGGCTGTGGGAGAGGGTTCTGCTTGGTATGAGCGTCAAACCCCTTCTGCTTAACATTTGGCTTCTGTATGTATTTAACAAAAATTAGAACAATAAAAAGAAATATGATTGGTTGATACACGATGGGCTGTGCCTTATGGTTAATGAATGGCTAGACAGAGAGGAATACTTAATCCTGTTAACCCTGTTGGACTGGCACTAATCTTGTTGACATATTTACTGGGTGCTTTGAAAGAGATTATGGTGTCACTATAGACGAGCTTGTATTGGGGCTAATCCTTAATGCACTATAGACGAGCTTGTACAGGGGCTAATCCTTAATGAGTCTAAATTGAAGTAATTGCTGAATGTTATTCTAATATAGGTGATGACAGATTTACTTAAATAAAATAGTTCAAGGTAATCTATAAGACTACGTAGACATATCTTTTCTCTGGGAGATGGGATCTTGATACCTTAGGCTAGCATTTATCTAAAAGCTTCAAATCTATTAAACTATGTAGACATAACTCTTGTCTTATTTCTCTTGTCTTATTGAACAGTATGTCTAGGAGATGCGCTCCCGTTACCTTGGGCTAGCATCTATCTAAAAAGGTATAACTGAAACTACTGATATTTTATATGTGCATTTTACCTGATGATAAGTTTTACTTGCTAAACTATAATTATATGAAATGATGTATAAATATTACGCCATGATAACTCATAAAAGCACTTGATGTGGATCTAATTATTATAGGATAACTAAGTATAAATGTTATATCACGATACTTTGTTGGTTTGTAATTCTCCATAATTATATACTTATGTAAGCATTCGTTTAAATGTGATCCAATGATAGTAATCTATTTTTAATCTCCAACTCGTTCTTTGGTTTTGGCACGGAATAATTGATGCGCTTGTTGTCTCCCCTGTTCTATGAACTTTCTTTTCTCGTCTTTGCTTAATACCACTGGTCTTACGAGAATTTGATCGAATATTCTGCTTCATTGTGTTGTATTTGGTGAGTTCTGACAAAACTAAACGCAACTCCTCCTCGGATATATTACAATCAGCCAGTGCTGTTGAAATATGGTCCTCAATGCTGTTCAACTTTGCTTCGGTGAGTATCCAAATATTATCATGTTTTAATGCTTTCTTTTGCAACTTACGAGATATGAATTTTATCGCTATTCCGGCCAGTCCTGAGACTCCGGCAGCTATTTCCATGCCAAGTACGATAGGCGCGGGGATTATAGTTGATAATAAACCAACACCGGCTACACCGAGTACCATGCTAGCCGTTACAAGCACGGTGTCAACTCTGTCAGCATTCACGGCTCTGCGATACTTTTTATACAATCGAAGTCTGAACTCCCTCTCCTTCTCTATTCGATGTTTTATGTCGCTTATTTGATGTAATTGAAATCCATCAACAGTATCCATCTTTTCAGATGCTTCATCGAGCGCCGGATATAAACTCATATTTATATTATAATATCATATAATAGTCTTCAATTGTTCTTGCTTCAATGTTTTGAGAGTATACACCAGCCTTTTTAAAAGGTTAATTATTCGGCATAAATATCTGGTCTCCTCCCACTAGTAAGACAGCCCAGTTGTGAGACACCTTAAGACAACAATGTCATACCTGGTTGCACATGTTAATCAGGTAATTAACCCCTATCATGA